GTATATGCTTGAGATAAAGCTGTTGACATTAGTGAAGATTCACGCCCACAAGAATGGAGCCGACATGTTGACAAAATGCATGGAAAAAGAGAAGTAAAAATTTTCACCGGAAGTTGGCCGGCATGGATGCTAGTTACTAGTCATGGGCATCACCCCTCATGGGAATGGAGGGTAAGATTGTAGGGTTTGGGTCAATACCCATGGTAGGCTCGACTTAATCAAGTTGGTTGAACCCATGTGTGGTTGGGAGTTAAGTCATATGAGAACTTAAGTATCATGAGGAGGGGTTCATTATATATTTGACCATTATATTCTCATAAGTGCGAGTTGTGAGATAAGAGAAAGAGGAGAGAAAGCTAGGGTTTGTGAAGGGCTCATCCTTGGGTTGATTTGCTCAACATTTTACATTAGTTTGGAGATTTGTGGCCTTCTACTCTTGGCTAGGAGAAGATTCTATAGGTGAGTTGTAGGTTTGAAACTAGTGAGGTAAACCCTTGTAATTCCCCATTGTTCTCATTGTTGTTGGGTTTCAAGCTTTGTGTAAGATTGAAGGTTATTGTACGGTGTAGTCCTCTTTATTACAATCATGGAAAGAGCTCTCTTCTTGTCCGTGGACATAGGCACATTTTGCTGAATCACGTTATATCAGTTGTCCATTGTGGTTGACTGTGTTGTTTATTCCACATTTACATTCCTCTTTCATATTTGATCTTGGCTTGTCTTTGGGTTTCCAACATTATTTACATGTTAACATAATTATAAATGGATCAACTTTTTCAGAAATTATTGGCAATGTAGGATCCGGTCTAGCACATGACCAGATCCATTTCAGCCCGAAGAGCTATATGAAACAAGTCGTATTCTCCCTTTTGTAAATGGGTCGTGCTTTGAGCATGGTCCTCCCTTTGAAATGGCAGCAAGTTATATTGCTCGTGGAGGCTTATTTACATGGAGAAAGAATAGTGACGCTACCTAAATATTAACCTCGACTATAGAATTTGTACCTGAATTCGCATGCAGGGAAAGGAGGATTTCGAACCATGGTTAACCCTACATTACAAATATGTATCTACAATCAACTGTTTTTTGATTTTGTATTCACGAGAAAAATAGAAATGATAAGGAGATAAGATCGGGGTTTGAGAGATTGGCTATAATTCTTATTGACTATTAGTTTGAATTGTAAGCTTGATTATACTCAGATAACGTAATGTTGAATGTTGAACATTCTTAACTCCATGCTTTTTTGTTGTCTTATTAGTTCTTTCTTTTCTCGGTCTATATCATTTCACTGTGTTGCTAACAACCTTAGCGGTCCATTTTTCCATTCCTAATTCAAAGTATAAAATTGAATAACCGATGTACACTGTAATAATCAAAAGGTGTTTTCGTGTAAAGAAACTATTTTCAAATTAGACTGATTATAAGAAAACCACCTTCAAATTTTAATTTATAAATATAAACCACCTTTAAAGTAGGTTCCGAATATAAGCAACCACATCTACCTATTTTCTGATGAAATTTAAATAAAATTTCTAAAATGCCCTTAAAAGACAAATGTGCCATAAACTAGGCTTGGTTAAAGGTCTCAGGCCTGACAGACGCGTATTTTTAAGGGTATTTTGGGATTTTATTTGATTTTTTGTGAGAAACACGGTGGTTGGTTGCAATCAAGATCCCCCTAAAATGTGGTTTAGGTGTAAATTGAACTTTAAGGATAGTTTATCGTACAACAGACCAGTTTTTAAGATGATTTACGCGAAAGGAAAAAAAACCCTAAAACAAAAATTACAATGAGTTTAATTGACAAATATCCGGAAGCAACGGACAGCGTACATAAATGAGATAAAAAGAAAAGACAGAAGTGCCAGTATTATGTGTAACAATCCGTATTTACACGAGGAAAATCAAGCGCAAGCACCCACGGATAATATCAATACATCATTTATACACGCACATCGGTCTCCGTCCTACGCACAGTACCATCCTAGCTTAGCTAGTAGTCAAAGAAAGCATCAGCAGCGCCAGCGAGCGTCAGCACATGCTTCTTCTGATGCCCTGTTTTCAAGTCCGTGCGCGCCCTGCCCGCTCCCAAGTTCGCCACCAACATATTCACGCAAAGCAACCAGACCAAAATCCCAAAAAAAATAAATAAATAAATAAAACTCGCAACCTCTCTCCTCTATTTTCACTCAATAAACTAAAACCCCAGCACAGACAGAGTCACGGGCTCAC